TTTTTTTATAAAGACGGGGTTTCACCATGCTGGTCGGGTTGGTCTTGAACTCCCAACCTCAGGTAATCCGCCCGCCTTGGCCTCCAAAGTGCTTGGATTACAGGCATGAGCCACCACGCCCAGCCTAGGCATTGACTTTTAAGAGCATAACAGTGGGCAGTGGTAGGATATATGCCACGTGCTTGCCATACCATGGCCTAACACATATCCCTAAAGACAGAGTATCTGGGACCTGGACTGGGGTAAAAGTGTAGACACATAAAGCTTTTGTTGTTGTTGTTCTTGCACGTGTTGAAGAGAAGCAAAGTAGAAGCTAGCTGATTGTACACATGAATTTGTATGCTGGTTTTTTGTTTTTGTTTTTTTTTTTGGTGGACTTTAACTTACCCTTTCATTGCCAAGGGTAAATTTTGTAGTTCGTATATATAAGTTATCACCTTTGACTTACTAATGTCTTCTACCTAAGGACTTGAAAGTTGATTATCAGTTCACATATCTGACCTTTGTTGTTCTTTTCCTTTTTGGGGACCAAGAAGATAAAGGGCACCTAAGGCCACTGCTATTATTGGGGAAAATTACAGTGGCTATAAAAATGAGAAGGAGGACCAAGTGCAGTGGCTCCTGCCTATAATCCCAGCACTTTGGGAGGCCAAGGCAGGCAGATCACAGGGTCAAGAGATCGAAACTATCCTGGCCAACATGGTGAAACCCCATTTCTACTAAAAATACAAAAATTAGCCAGGCATGGTGGTGTGCACCATCCCAGCTACTCGGGTGGCTGAGGCAGGAGAATTGCTTGAACTGGGGAAGCAGAGCTTGCAGTGAGCAGAAATTGCACCATAGCACTCCAGCCTGGCGACAGAGTGAGATTCTGTGTAAAATAAAGAGAGAGAGAGAGAGAGAGAGAGAGAGAGAGAGAGAGAGAGAGAGAGAGAAAAGTAGTAGCCAGGAGATTGGCTTGTCAGTACCTGGGCAGGTGCTCCCATGATGCAGGTAATCAGGAGATTGGAGAAAGAAATGCAACAAGATGGGAGCCAGGCACAAGTGCATCCCTTACCCATTCAATGGTTCATCAGCGCCAGGTACTGTGCTAAAATACGGAGGATACAGCAATGTTCAGGCTGCTGCCTTTAGAGGCTGCTGGGGAAAGAGGAGCATTCACGGACAGTGGGAGACAGGGTGATAGGACTATAACAGGCATAAGCCCAGGATGCTGTGGGCACACAGAGAGATGTGCAGGACTGGCTTGCGCTGTCTAAGCTGAGGCCCAAGAAATGAGTAAGAATAGGTCAAAGGAGATGTGGAAAAGACCTTCAGGCAGAAAAAACAGCATCTGTAAAGGGCTGGAGGAGCTGAGGGTATGGCTACATTGGAGGACTGGTTAAAGCCAGGTTGTAAATCCCCATCAGTGAGTTTGGACTTTTAAACCAAGTGCTTTTCTGTAGAAAAGTGTTATCATCAGAGAAACGAAATGATGTGGTTTCTGTAAGAAAGCTGATTAGAAAGATGATTCTGGCTGAAGTGTGGACATCAGACTGAAAAGGACAAGACAGATAGACCAGTTGGTGGCATTGCTGGTAATTCAGGTGAGCTGATGTTAGCCTACTGATGACAACATCAATCAACTCACAAATAAAATCAGAGAGTGTGAGCAATGGGAGGTGACTTAGAGATCACTTAGCATTGGAAAACTAAATCTCCAGTAGGGCAGATGCCATGGTCATATGGCAGAGGTGGGGTAGAGACGCAAAGCTGGAACTTGAGCCAACTGAAACAGGTCTTCTGTTTCCAAATCCAGTTCTCTTTCCACTGTGTTTATATGGCCAGGTATTTGTTCAACTCCCAGTGTGTGCAAAACCATTCAGCTAAATGCTGGATGGGTGGGTATGCACAAAGCTTGACCTAGCTTGGCACTCTGAAATCTCACGTGTTGTTCCCAGCTCTGTGCCTGGATTAGACATTGAAATACTGGTATTGAACGGAGTGGAGAGAAGGGATGGGGGCCGGTCACCAGCAGGAATGTGACTAGGTGGGCCCCAGGGCCCAGTGGGGAACTGAGGTGGTTTGGGATTTCATCCTTCATGAGAAATACTAAGTTGGTATTTGGTCCAGGAAGCCCCATTTTTGCTAGAATCAATTAAATATCCACACTTACAGGAAGGTGTTTGATGTTGTCTTATGGATGGAAGCATCTCTGTTTCTGTCCACACACCGGTTAAAGGAGCTCAGATTCTTCGGTGCCTGCCATTCCCATCTTTATGCGATTTCCTGGGGCCCTGGGTCCTCACAGCCACAGATGGCTATCACATTCCACCAACTGCAGATACCCATGGAGATGTTTTAGGGAAGTGGCTGTGGGTCCGCTGTTAGATGTGCCAGTTTGGATGGTCAAATGGGGAAATGGCATAGCACGAATGAGGTAAAGAGCATGGGCTCAGGCCAGAGGGAGCGTGAGAAACAAACATGAGTCAGAAAAACGGCAGTGAAGCTGAGCTGGAGAAGTATTTCACCGCCGAAACCATGTTACAATGACCTAAAAATAGTCCCTGAGACCGTGGGGACCGCCTTACATGTGGTGGTTGCTTTTAGTTATTTTTCAGCTTGCAAAATTGAAGGGCTGGCCCCTCGTAGGAAAATAAAGCTTTGCAAAATAGTAATGACTGCAAATCTTTCATTTCCTTTGGAAAGCATTAGTCACCTTCAAATATGGTGGCTCACTCCTTCCTCCCTTCTCTCTTACCCCAAAACACCTCACCTAGTTCTTCCTGAGGCAGTGGTGAGGAGCAAAAAAATTAGAAATGTTTCTTCTGCTGGTTTTTATTCATTCTTTTATTGAATAAATATTTTCTGTAACACATGGTTGGGTCAGCTCAGAAAAGCAATGTTACGTAAAGCCAAGCTTCAGCCTGCAGGGGGTTTATCCTTAGTAAGTGGAGATGACCCATGCATACAAATTATAAGAACAGAAATGGAAAGTGGTAAAACATAAAAACACACAAGGAGCCATAGAGTTTGCATCCAGCTGCGCAGTGTGGGAAGGGCATTGTGAAAGGCATGCATTGGATCTGAGCCCTGAAGGACCGGCAGGATGGAAGCTACAAAAAAAATGAGAGAAAGTAAAGAGCAAGAGCGAAGTCCCAAGGCCAGGAGAGTGCGGAACGCGTGAGAGCCGCGGTCAGTAATTCTCTTTGCTGGACCTGTCTGTGAAAGAGACTGATGAGAAATATCCCTGGAATGACTTGCTCGTGGAGGCTCGCAGATGGCAGACTAGAGGAGGTTGGACATAGTATACACAATGCGAGCATTTGTTGTTGCTTTAGATTGTTTGCATGGCGTGGAAGAAAGGGTGAGTAGTATTAGTAACTTGGCCAGCAAATTATGCTTCAAAATGTCAATCTTGACAACAGTGCTTCAAATGAGCTGGAGTGACAAGAGGTGGGAAACAAAATAAAATATAGACCAATATAAAAATAAAAATTAGCCAGCATATTAACCTATGTAGTTTGATCACAATGTCTTATTTTTTATGAATGGTTATTTCACAGTTCCAGTGATATCCCCAAGCACCCTTCTGCCTTGAGGTTTTGGTCCAGTCTTCCAAGACCTCCATCCCTCAGGAGTTCAGTAACCTGCTGAGTGCTCACACATGCCCCTGTTGTGCACTGCACAACCCAACAGTATTCTGAGTACTGTTCTTCCACACAGATGGCAACACCATAATCCCCACTGAGCCCAGCAACCCCACATGGCACTGTGCTAAGGGTTAGCACACCATGCCAGTGCTGATGCCCATGCTGTCAGTTCCATCATCCCCCTGTGTTGGCAGAATTAACAATGATACTAGGCACAGCAGCCACTCCAGCTGGCCTGGAGCGCATCATCACACTGCTCTTGGTAGACCGGAAACCTGCTGATGCTGCAGGTGTCTCTGCTAGTGTATAAGGTATTGTGTGCCCAGTACAAGCACTGCACGGATATGCAGCTATCACCCAGCGTTGGGGCACATGTGTGTACAAGTCACTTCTCCAAAGTACTTCCTATGAGGCAAGAGAGATAGTTACTTTCTTTTATACTATGCTCACTAGGGTAAGATCCCTCAGCAAAGTTTCCTAGGTTCCCAGAAGGAACAATCCTTTAAATTCATGCCCCATTTACAAATACACATACACATCTTACCCTGAGAATACATTAAAAGCTGCCAAGGGGTGGATGAAGCTGAGTTCCAGGACCAGCCACCTTGCCATTTCCAGCATCAACAATTCTTTCTCCCCGCAATGAGTGCAGGTGAACTCCCTCCCAGAGCCACTTTTACATTTTCCTAAAATATGACCTTCAACTGGGACCATCCAGCTCAAACATATCTCCCTCCCTCCCTTCCTTCCTTTCCTTCCTTCTTCCTTCCCCTCTCTCTCTTTCATATTCAAGCAAGCCATAAAGAAGTGATGTCAACTTACAGTGACTGTGTGCTCACGGATGCCTCTCTGCTGAGTATCCTTGGTAAATTACCATCATCGCGCCTCATGCTCTGTATCTGTCAGGCACCGCACCTGTAACTTCCCTTGCACTTTCTCTTTAACGAAAGTACACAACTCGTTAGCTTACCTTGGGCATTTTCCTTTACAAGCCTTATGCTGAAGGAAACAAACATAAAGTAAACAGAAACTTTCCGAGCCTCTGGGGGGATGTCCTTATTTGTAGACTATCTTACATAAACGTGCATGGGAATCTAGAAGCCCTGATTTCAAATATGTAAAGTAGACAAAGTGAATTAAATAATGCAACTTGTTTGGAGTATATTCAGATCTCCTCACTGACTCCAAACTCCTAGCTCTACCTATTTGAAAATATTTATTTTCTATGCTGTATACCTTCTTTGTCCCGCCATGAGAAGTAGCCATGCATAGAAGAAGCACTGTAGGTATCCTGTCTTTAAGTCAGGATATGTTTAAGATGCGCATCCGTGGAATGCACATTTAAAGAATTCTAATATTAGTAATAACGATGAGAATTATTGTTTGTTCTAGTCACCTCATTCTCAATCTGCGAGGAACATCTAGACAAGTTTGGGAGAGCAGAGCGATACCAGCAGGGCCCAGGCAAAGAACTAACTGCCAACCCTACACTTGTATGACTCTAAGATTGACACCTCCTTAGATACTTTTAACTTGTGGTAAAAGGTGCACAACGTGTACAGTTGTCATCATTGTAAGTGATTTGCCATTTCGATCATTTGTAAGTTCTGCAGCATTTAGAACATTCACATTTTGTGCATCTGTCACCACCATCCCGCTCCAGAACTTTTACATCTTCCCAAACTGAAAGTCTACTTGTTAAACAATAACTCCCTGGTTTAGTCCACGGTGTGTCACTATAAAAGAATATCAGAGATTGGGTAGTTTATAAAGAAAGGAGGTCTATTTAGGTCATATTCTGCAGGCTGAGAAGCTCAAGGGCATGGCCTTGTCTCCTGGCAAGGGCTTTACTGCTGCTGCACAGGTGGCAGAGAAGGTCAAAGGGGAAATGGGTAAGTGTGAAAAGGACAAAACCTGAGAGGCATCCTAGAGTCATAACAACACATCCATGGAAAAAAGCCATTCCTAGAACTTGCTAGCACAAGTACAGCATCAAATCACTCTTAGGAGGTTCCTCCCATGACCTGAACACCTCCCACCAGGCTCCCCCTCCCAAGACCAATACACACAGAATCACACTTCAACATGAGGCTTGGTGGGAACAAACCAACCATATCCAACCCATCGTGTTCCCCACTGCCTCCTCCCCCACCCCATGACAAGCACCATTCTTCTTTCTGTCTCTATGAATTTGACATTCTAGCTTTCTCATAGAAATGGAATTATATTTGTCCTTTTATGACTGGTTTATTTCACTTAACATAATGTCTTCGAAGTTAATTCATGTGGTAGCATGTGTCAGAATTTTCTTCCTTTTTAATAACTATGTATAGACTACATTTTATTTATCTGTTCATCAATCAATGGGCACTTGGGTAGCTTCCACACTCAGGCTACTGTGAAGAATGCTGCTATAAACATGGGTGTACAAATATCTCTTCAATTCTCTGTTTCCAATTCTTTTTTTTTTTTTGAGACAGTCTTGCTCTGTTGCCAGGCACCAGGCTGGAGTGCAGTGGCACAACCTCAGCTCACTGCAACTGCCTCTCGGGTTCAAGCAGTTCCCCTGCCTCCTCAGCCTCCCAAGTAGCTGGGACTACAGGCGCGCGCCACCATGCCCAGCTAATTTTTGTATTTTTTTTAGTAGAGACGGGGTTTCACCATGTTGGCCAGGATGGTCTTGATCTCTTGACCTTGTGATCCACCTGCCTCAGCCTCCCAAAATGCTGGGATTACAGGCGTGAGCCACCACGCCCAGCCTGTTTTCAATTATTTTGGGCATATACCAGCGGTGGAATTGCTGGATCAGATGAATTCTATTTTAATTTTTGGGGAGAGCCACCATATAGTTTTCCAAGGCAGATATACCAACTTCAATTCCTATCAACAATGTACAAGCGTTCTAATTTCTCTAGGTCCTTACTAACACTTGTTATCTTGTCTGTTTCTTTAAAAAAATATAGTATCCATCTTAATGAGTATAAGGCAATATCTCACTGTCGTTTTGATTTGCATTTCTTCTAGTTATTACTGATGGTGAACTTTCTTTCATGTGTTTGTTGGCTTCTTATGTATCCTCTCTGTAAAATGTCTATTCAAGTCCTTTGTTCATTTTTATTTGGGTTGGTTTGTTATTGTTGAGTTGTAGGAATATTTTACATATTTTGGATATTAACCCCTTATTAGAGATATGATTACAAAATATTGTTTCCCATTCCATGGACTGCCTTTTCACACTGTTTATTGTGTCCTTTGATGCACAGAGATGATCCCTTAAGTTTTACACCCTAGGGCCTCTTTGCCTCACTTTACTCCTGGCCCAGAATATAGCCCTTGTCTCTTCCACAAAACATTTAACAAACTTCAAGTATTTGAAATGATAGATGATCTCACTTGGGTTTCTGAAAGTTTAATTAAGTACAAATTTCATTCTTCCGTTTGAATTTCTTTGACAGCCTGGGATATCCAAATTTAAATGCTGTTTTTGAAGCAAAACCTGGCCTATCCTAATTGTTACAAGAGATCAGCAGCTTCAAAGAATACTTTCTGAGAGCACTCCCATTGTGCCATCCCTCAGTGGAGATGGAAGCTTTTGAACTCTTGTCAAATATTACAATGTGCCAGGCACTGTTC